TGTCGCTGCTTTATAAATAAAACTATAAATGGTGTTTTCAAAACATGTTTAAAAAAAACATCACGCCATGGTGTTTTTCTAAAAACACTACAAAAACACTACAAAAACACTATAAAAACGCAATGAAAACAACACAAACGCAAAATTTGTTCTGATTCAATATGAACCCAATTTAAGAACCACATTTAAGTGTTCACTGCTTGATTTTTCCTTCATCTGGCTTCTGACCTTCGAAACTCGTGACTAATTTTGTAATCTCTTCATTTTTTTGCCCTTTTTGACTTCTTCATAAAATATAAAAAAGCCCATCTTTCCTCTCTTTTTTTATCTAAAATAGGTCAACGAAGCCCAGTGTGAAACCGCATGTTGACGGTGAGCACATAATCTAGTACCCCGATTTCTGTTTTTGACCAAATAAAATAAATAAAATAAAAAAAAGTCTCGAACCAAAATTTTCTTAGTCGGTAGTTAAATGCCGGTTAACAATTTTTAATTTGAATGAGAACGAATATAAATACATATATATATACACATATATATATATATATATATATATATATAATATAGGCTTTGTTTTCCTAAATTTGGTTGTCCCCAAAGCTGAGAGTTGTTGTCATAACTTCAGAGAGCTTGAAAAGATCATGTAAACGTATCATGTCCTCAATATTTTTCATAATTACTTTTATCATTAAAATGTTGTTGTAGAAAAGTTGTTAGAGGAAAATTACATTGACTTTCATCGCTAGTAATGCTGAAAATAGAGTATAGGAGATTGACGTGTCCCTTCCCACTATTTGTCGGTGCGCTATATGTTGTTGATCGTCAACGGTCCTGACGTATTCTACATCAAAGATAGACCAGCTAGGAGTGCGAGGTGAACGACTTTTCTTTTAAATATGAAAATTCTGAGAAGTCAACAGTTATTAGACAATTATATTATAACCATTATAATTTGGAAAACCTCCTCGCCTGTCATATGACACACATTATACTTTTAACGGAAATAATATAGTTTTGGAAATTCAAATAGACCTTTTATGATTTATAAACTCAAGGGGGTTTTGTGCAAATCTCTTGAAAGCTTAGGGGTTTTTTTGTGAAATATATCCAAAATAACAATTAATCACAGGAATATGACGTGGCCTATCCTGCACTGGACGGTAGCTGGCGAGAGAAAAGAGGCGGGCAAATCCCGCCAAACCTTATCTGAGACCAAAACGCCGACCTTTTTGTACTTTTTCAGTTTCCCCCCGCCTGATTATCGCATTTATGTATTTATTTATCACAATTTAATAAATATAGGCTTGGGAAAAGATAATGCTCCTTTTGACAAAATGGATGAAGAAGACAAAAATATATTTTTCTTCGACGTCAATAAAAGTAAAGATGTCGGTAACTTCACCTTGACGGCTAATGTAGTTCAAGGCCGTCATTTTCATTCGTTGACAACAAAACTCCTTTTTCATATTGTTTGTGTGTATAATTGTAAATTTAGAATTATTTTACATGATCAAAATTTAGGATAAATTGCCAAGGTTTCGTGTGTCATTAAACTTTGGTAGCAAAAAAATCAGTTAAAAAGCATTGTTGAAACTCAAAATAGAATAAATAAACTCTTCCATAGATGTATTCTAATAATAATAATAATTTTTCCATAGATGCAATGGAATAATAGATTTAGAATTTTTAGGGTATTAAGATATATGAATGTCTTTATGTTGAATTCGATAGGAGAAGAGAAAATAAAAATATAGCCTTCAGCGTTGGAGATTTGGTGTGATGGTTATGACTTTAAGATGGTATCACAACAATCCTGGTTCAAATCTCATCAATAGGAGTGCTAAACTGTATCCGTATCCGAGAAAATATCTGTTAGGATACAGATATGGTTACTCAAATCTATAGCTGATAGGATATGGTTACGGATATGGTTTTGTAGGGAAATATTTGTATTCGTATCCGAAATATCTGAATACATATTAGTCATACTCTTATGATAGTTTTGATTCTTAGATTATGGATTTGTGGTTAATTTTGATAATCAATATGTCTAATCTTAGCTTTTCAATTATAATGACCATATTAACAAACTCTTTTGTATAACATGAACTATATTTTTCTAAATACTATATAGTTTTCTCATACCCGTTTTGTATCAGTATGCATATCTGCTTATATATATGCATGTCTATCCATAACCGTATCCGATTTTAGCGGATATAGATATGGATTTTTCTTACCGAGATACATCTGTATCTGTATCCGTATTCGAGATGGGTAAACATATATGAATAGGATAAACATCATATCCGAACCGTATCCGGCCCGAATGCACCCCTACTCATCAACCATGAATTTAAAGTAGGTTTCCTAAAAATTGTTATCACTATGTGAGTCCATGTTTTGACCCATGAAAAAGATACTCAATCTACGGAGACGTGCTAGAATATATAACTGTAATATTCAACTATCATCACAATTTTGGGGTTTTGTTCTAATAATTAGAGGGGTTAATTTAAAAAGAACACAAACTTTACTACGAAGCGATCTATTTGTATTTCTATACTTGCCGTAATTAGTATTCTTTATTATCAATAAAATAAGGCTCAAATCTTTTCTTTAAAAAGAATGAAACTTTATTGCCGAAGCCTTGGTAGTACTAAAAGATTCTTTCATTTATCCATTGTTTTTACAATTTTAAAGCGGTTTAAGACTTTTATTGGACCAGCTCCGACCCGATCTGACGAGCAAAATCAAATAAAGGTCAGCTACTAAATATAATAATAACCCAAACTTTGGCCGCATTCATTTTTCAAAATCCATAAATGCTCACCAATGAGGGCATACTATTGAGAATTATACTGTAAAATGACCTCAGTAGGTCACAAGCTGATTAGCACACATAATCTATTCTACTAGTTCTTAATTAACACGAAATTGCATCATTCAAACTTGCAAAGCATGAATTTTGCCAAAAATAGACTACACAACTAACAATTGTTTAAAGAATAAAGAACAACCAACCCCCCACCCCCATCATTTTTTTAGATATTTCCCTAAGCTCTTCAATTTCAATTTAATCCCCGAAAACCATGGAAGTTGCTAAGGGCCCCTGGTTCTTAAAAGTTGTTTTGCTATACACCCCCGGTATCATTGAATTGTTATTAGGTCCCCTAATTTTCTTTCAAAGTAATCCATGCCCAAAACAGCAGTAGCAAGATATAAAAATATAGGGACCTAGTAATAATTTTAATCATTTGAAGAACTAAATTTAAAATGCTTAACATATGAGGGACTGATGTAAAAAAAGGCAAAATAAAACTGAGAAAACAACATCCAATGCTACATATTGGAGGGGTCCAATCTTGCGGATGCGAGCGGATCCACAAGGGGCCCAAAATGATGGTTAAAGGTTCTCATGGATGATTGGGGATTT